CCGCGGCGGCATGTGCTCGGCCCCGGCTATGCCTGCCCCCGCCCCCGCCTTCGGTTTCCAAACCTCAGAGCTGGGGAAGCGCCGGGACCTCAGTTGAGGCGTGGGTCCCTTCCCGGGGAGTTCCTTGAATTTCCCGATCCTCCCTGGACAAAAAAGACCGGAGCCTCCCCTTCCGACTGAGCTTTGGTGGCCCCAGGCAAATTTAGGGACCCAGAGGAGAAAGGTGCAGTGGGAAAGTGAGTGAGCTCCCTCCCCGCTCTCTTCAAGTCCTCTTACCCCGTTCGCTTCAGTTGTTGGGAGGTTCATGAGGCAGGGCTATAGTAATCCTGGCTTTGCAGGATAGGAAACACGCCCTGTAGGTGAGGAGTATCTGCTCAAGATTGCACGGCTAGTCAGGCAGCAGGACCCAAAACTGGACACTGTCCTGACTCAGAGCTCAGAGCCCTCTCCCTGAAGCCCGAAAGCAAAGCCTAGAAGGTGCCTGTCAGCCTTCTGTCTAGTTCCAGACTCATGGGTAGGCTTTCCTGTCTTGCCCACCAATCCTCCCTCGTCCCTCAAAAGAGCCAGACTTGGAGACCCCTGTTGGCCTTCCTCTCCCAGGCCTGATTACTGCCCTCTCCTCCTGGCTTAGGGTGGGGTGTTATTTGGGGAAGTATGTCCCCAGAGCCAGGCTAAGCAGCTTCCTACAGTGCTGAGTAGGGGAGGTAGAGCCTAGGAGAGGGAGCAGGAAAAGGGAGACTTGAGGGTCAGGGTGAAGTAGTCGTTTGCCATGGGGGGAGGGGACAGGGGCTTAGCAAGAAGAGTCATTTTGAACCCCCTTAACAATGTGGAATCCAGGACCCAGCATAGGAGATTTAAAGTGGAATCTGTTTCATGAGCCCTTGGACCCTCTGCCCCTCCTCCCCTGTAGAAGAGAAACCAGACCAGGCACAAAGAAAGAAAACGTGGAGCCCCCCCAGACCTTGGACCTAGGAAGCCATCCAGCTCCTCCTGGGATGTGGGCTGGGTTGTAATCTGCCAAGGGTTCTGGTGAGAATCAGTCAGTCTCTGCCCCACAACTCAGCCCTTCTCCCTGGGAGCACAGTGCCTGTTTCCTGATTCCAAAGCTCATCCCCAACAGGACAGCCCTCTCCTCAGGCTGCCCAGGCCTGGACCTGACTAGTGTAGTAGTGCCTTTGTCCTAGAAGTTGAGGGCACAGGCATGGAATGTCCCTGGAGCGTCTGGATGGTGTATCCTCGGTGAGTGTGTCTGACAGGCATTCTCTGCCACCCTTAGAAAGCCTTGTTCGTGCAGTTCGCTGAGGTGTTCCCGTTAAAGGTGTTCGGCTACCAGCCAGATCCCCTGAGCTACCAAACAGCTGTGGGCTGGCTGGAACTGCTGGCTGGGTTGCTGCTGGTCGTGGGCCCACCGATGCTGCAAGAGATTAGTAACTTGTTATTGATCCTGCTCATGATGGGTAAGGGGGCCAGCTGGCCTGAGGAAATGGGGTCTTCTCGGGGAGGATGATGGAAAGACCTGGCCTTTCCCCCTTACTGCTGCCACCCTTCTTTTTTCTCTAGGATCAGGAGCACTTCCTGCTCTACTGAGGTTTCCATAGTCTTTGGACTAGGACAAGTGCTTTTTAAACTTAATGTACTATAATATAACACTCTCCCATGTCAGATATACCTTCTACGTCCTCAGTTCTAATGGCTGCATGGTATTCCATCATGAGGCTGTATTGTAACCTCAGCGACCCTGCTCCTTCCTCCACATGCCCACTCCTGGAATGAGGGGATGGAGCGGCCACTGCCGTTAGACTTAAGTAGCTGGCAGGTTGGTGTGGACAGCAGGGAGGCTGGAGCCCTAGAACAGGTAGGCAAAGAATTTCCCTAGAGAGGCCCCCTTCTAGCAACTCTTCCTATGGGAACTGCTGACATACAAAGACAGCTGCTGCTTCAAAGGCCAGATATCTTCAGGCTCTTCTACATTCTCTGGTCTGTGTCACCATTGCTGCCACCCCTACCACCCTGATCCCTCAGGTTTTCTTTCCATCTCTGGAGCGTCTCTCATTTTCAGATCTTTCCCACACTTCCACCAATATAACCCCTTGGCCTCCTTCCCTCCGGTAGATGTAGGATTAAGAAAGGAGAAGGACCAGAGAGAATGTGTTCCAAAATCCCAATCTATCCACCTCAGCTGTTGCCCTACTTGGCTGGGTTGTGTCTTTCTTGTCCTCTTAGAGGGGCTACATTAGTTTAAGAGGCTTCTAATGCCTGGTCCTGCTTTCTCTGGGAGGCCCGGAGAGATGAGTTCAGCTAGTTTTGGGTATGTGTATGTTGGGGGTTGGGTGGTTGTTTAATGGCAGGGCTTGGGCTGGAGTGGGTCAGCCTTAGCTGGAGAATCCTGAGCTCCTAGATCTCCTGCATTCTCCCAGGGGACCTGAGGGACCTCACTTTCCATTCTAGGAGCTATCTTCACCTTGGCATCTCTGAATGAGTCACTGAGCATCTACATCCCAGCCATCGTCTGCCTGGTGTTCCTGCTGCTGCTGGATGTCTGCCAGTTCTCATCCCAAACTAAGAAAGTGGTCAGGCCCACTAGGAGGATGACTGTAAATGCATTCAAGGAGTCCTGGAAGTAGGGTCTCTACCTCTGCCTGCCCCTGTCACAGCAGGGACATGGTAGGACACACAGTCTACCACCTTGTTGCCAATACATCCAGAGTCATCCAGTGTCGAAAGAGACTTCTTGTCTACCTGGCCCTGCTTTCTCTCTTTACTGCTATTTTTTGAGAGGTACATGTTAATACATACTAACATTCCTCATATCATATGAAAATAGAAAATAAGCAGAACAGAAATTAAAATCAATCAAAATTCTAATGCCCCCAAATAACCACTTTTTATCCCTTTGTATACCTATATCTCTCAACTTTTTTCTGTGCCTTTATAAAGATACCTATTTTTGTAATGAAATGAGACCATATATCCTGCTTTATTATCTCTTTTTCAAACCAAATATACTGTAACACCGTTATATGCCGTTTACCTCATTTCTGTTAATGGCTGCATAGTATTCCACTGTAAGGATGTACTGGAATGTATTTGCTTAGCTCCCCCTTGAGGAACATTTGGGTTGTTCTCAATTTTTTGCTATTGTAAACCTCACAGTAAATCACCTTTTTTGGTTTGTTTGTTTGAGTCGGAGTCTCTTTCCCCTGGGCTGGAGTGTAGTGGCACGCTTATGGCCACTGCAGCTTGACCTGCTGGGCTCAGGCAATCCTTCTGCCCTAGCCTTCCAGCTTTCTGCCTCAGCTGGAACTACAGGCATGCACCAACATGCCTGGCTAATTTTTTGATTTATTGTAGAGATGAGGTCTCACCAAGTTGCCCAGGCTAGTTAAATCACTCTTGTATACTTTTTCTCTTTCCCTAGACGTGGGGGAGGGAGTGGGGGGAGCTGGTTCAAAAGGCATGCATGCTTTTAAGGTTTTTAATACATATTTAAAATGCTCAGGTTGAGTGTGGCAGAGTTTAAGTACTTGCTTCTGCCTGTGACTTTCAAGCTACATGAGAGATTTGCTCCTACTCCTTTTTCTCTCTGACATTTTAGATTTACAAAGGTGGGCATTGGGTTATTGTACAGGACCTAAAATCAGCCTCTGGTGGTGAGATGTGGCACCCAGTCCACTGCTTCTTGACACCTACTTGGAGGTGGAGGACAGGCAACTCTATGGAATGCTGAATAGCACAGCGGAGTCCAAAGCCTGGGAGGAATCCCGCAGGTCCTTGAGTGTCAGGAGGGTGTGTGTGTGTGTGTGTGTGTGTGTGTGTGTGTGTGTGTGTGTGTGTGTGTGATTGTTTTCAGCGGAGAGTGGACAACATGTTAGGGCACTTGTTATCATGTCACCATTATCTTCACCTTAGCCTGGGGTGGGGGGTACTTTTGATACTGATGTGCCTCCCATAAAGAAAAATAGCAAAAAAGATCTCATTTATTTATGCAAACATTCTAGCTATCAGCCTACAAAAAGACTTCAGGAATATGGGCGGTGGCTTTGGGAGCCCATAGGAGTGAAAGAACTCTATGTTTATTTCTCCATTTCACGATCAACAGAATGCTAATTCCTGCTGTTTCAACTGACTAGTGTGAACCTCAGGCAAGATTTTTTCTTCTTGTGTCAAAGCACAGTGGTGCAATCTCCCTATAGCAAGGAAAGATAAATAGACATAAATATATGTAGTAGTATCCATAAGGAAACTTCTTCTCTCCTATAGGAGGTCCAGAGATAACAACTTCAGATTCATTGTTGGTTAAACTAACTGCTTAATGATGATATCAGGGATCACATTCTTTCTGCTTTCTGCTCTGCTGCTTTGGGTACTGCCCTCAGAATTGCAAAATAGTTGCAGCAGCTCCAGACAGCACATTTGCACATAACATCCAAAGGTGAAAAGAGAGAGGAAAGCTGTCTTAGAAGACCCTAGATTTCCCCTCACCTCTCACTGGCCAGAATTATGTCACATTTCCATTCCTAGACTTACTGGCTGGAGAATGGAATTCCCATGATGGACTTAGACCAGTTAAGATTTAACCACACTGGTCAGCAAGGAAGAAGAGGGGGGCAGATAATGGTTTCTGCTTCTTACTAGCTTATTTGCAAACTATGGATAATAATAGTGACTAGTTCATAACCTAGCACATAGTAAGTGCTCAGTAAACGCTAGCTACTATTAAATATTGATTTGTTCTACGGATGAGAAAATGGATTTGGAAAGCTTAAGTGCCTATGTGTCAGATCTGAAACTAGAACTAAGGCCAGATGGATTCCAGAACCCACACTTCTCACTGTACCAGCTGCCAAAGCTGAAAATGGACAGGCGTGGCACCCCTACTCTCTTAAACTTGAGAGTAGATGGCATGACCTGTCAAGTGTGATTAAATCTACCGTATGCTTTCCAGAATTGCCCTTCTACTTGAACATTTCGAAGCCCATGAAATTAGAGCCTGGAGCCTCCAGGATCCTGGCCTCATACTTGGATGCCGCAGCCAGCCTGTCTCCAGCCAGCACTGAGTAAAACCACTCACAGTTGGCTTAGATTGAAGGGTCCTGTTTACCAAGGCTTGGTCTGTAGGCTAATAGGCAGCTACTGGACCCCCACAAGCTTGGCTGTAGGGCTGGCCCAGCAGCTGCAGGAAAAGCAGGGTGCTGGAGAAGTAGGTTGGCCAGCTGGTGTGGAAGACCTGCTGGGATCGACAGCAACAGGAGTATCTTGAGCCCCAGCAGTGCCTCCTCAGCCGCTCAAGGAGAAGCCATGCCTCAGGAAATGTGCTCCCCAAACTGCAGTCTAAATCTAGGTCAGCTCAGCACAATGACATTCAGCTGTGTGGCCTTCCTAAAACTTTTCTGTCTCCCTCCTGTGCTGAAGGCCCTCTTGCCCTGTGATATTTTCTTCCCTTGGGACCCTGGCTGCACCCTCACAAACCAGCTCACAGCTGCCACAGGTGGGTCCCAGCTCTTCCAGCTGTTGGGCCTATTCATCTTGTCATGTCCTGGGATTAGCTGGTCAATGGGAGGGTCTGGGATGTGTAAATGGGAGGAGATTCTGCTCTGTCTCCGCTTCTTAAAGCCAGGACCCTAGAGGGGGCTTCAGCAGCCAGAACAGCAAGAGGTAAGAGAGGAACAATCTGGTGGATGGCAGGTAGAGGTCCAGGGTGGGGACTGCTGGGGGCTAGAGTCATGGAGGACAGAACTGAGAGGAAGGCGGAGAAGGAAATGCAGTCACTCAGGCAGGGTCCCAGAAAGGATTGGAGCAGAAATCCAGATTTTGGTATTGGAGGAATCTTAGTATACCCTAGGGATGAGTCTGTGTGTCAAAAATAGTAACAGGACATTGGCTTGTGCACTTACCTCCCTTGGGGAGAGGGTTGGAACATGCCCAGCTGTTTTTGTGTTGTTTTGTTTACTTGGGGTGTCTGCATCTCTCACACTGTATGTGTGCCTGTGTGGGTGTACACATTTATCTGTGCGCTGCCTAGAAGGGAAGGGAGCTAATGGTAATGAAGTATTTCCCCAGTGTCAGCCACAGGGCTTAGAGTTTTACTTATGTTTTCTCATAATCCTCCCAACCACCCTATGAGGTAGGTATTTTAATCTCCATTTTACTGCAGCGAAGACAGGCTCAGTGAAGCTGAGTAATTTGCCCAAGGTCACATGGCAAATAAATGTGTGTATCTAGAAACTGCCTGATTCCGGGGCCTGTGCTCTTTTTGCTTTTCTGTCCAGTTTTGATATTGACCCAGGACTTCTTTGTGGCCAAAAGGTGATGGGGGATGAAACAGGCTGGAAGACTCGAGAGTTGTGAAACCTTGTCAGCCCTGCCAAGGATGCTCCAGGCAAGGCTTGGGGTACCTCCTGGGGAGAGGACCTTCACCGAGGCAAGTCCAAGGTCACTGTGCATAAGCCTGTCTTCTGGGTCAGTGCATCACAAGATCATTTCTCTCTCCATTCTTCCTTCCCTTCCCCACTTGATCTGGATGGCACAGGGAGGGGGTTAGGCTTCCCCCCCCCAGGAAGGACCGTTTCTTTATATTCCAGCCTGTTTCTCTCAAACTCCCTGTTGGCTCAGACCCACTGTCTGTGCCCCCCACATATATATAGCAAATTCCATCTGTGAGGGACACCTCTACCCATCCAGTCACCAAGGCTGGAAATTTCCAAGTTATCTAGGCCTCCTGGCTCTTCATTTCCCACAGCTTGTCATCAAGAACTCTGGAGTCCATCCCCTCCTCTCCATCCCCAGCAGCTGCTGGCCAAGTTCAGTCCTCATGATCCTCAGTGGACTCTGCCTCTAGCTTCCCCTCCCAGCAAGGACTGAAGAAGAGATGGGGGGAAGGTGGAATGGGAGGCTTCTTTTGTGACTAGCCTCCACAGTGACCTCTTCCTCCGCTGAGTTCAAGGTCAAAGATGAACAGCAGTGTTGGGGACCTGGGTGCTGGCGGCTGCGGCCCCTGGGATGACCCTGCACGCTTCATCGTGGTGCCCGAGGCCTACGCCTTGGCGCTGGGCCTGGGGCTGCCCGCCAACGCGGCCGCCCTGGCGGTGTTCGTGCGCAGCGGCGGGCGCCTGGGACAGGCCCTG